TGATTTTGAAAGTATCATTCCCTCAGTGCCCGTCTGCATCCACCCCCTCCCCGCTGTGCTCCATCAAAAGCCACGCCCCCTCACTTACATGCACCAACGCCATTGTCCAGAAGCTGACTTCAACTTGCATTGTGTAAAAACTACGTCGTCTCATGTCTCATTCAGCGGTAAGTAAACTCACAGTATAAACGCTTTGAGTGTGAGCTAGAGCACGCAAGAGGTAGAGAGCGAGCAGGGAGACAGGGAGGCGTCTGATTGGTTCATCAGATTGGTAACTCGTGGCAGACATTGGTTGAAGTTTTACAGACTTACAAACTGATACAGATGATGGATTTTCTTCATTCCTTTTTCAGAGAACATGAGTTATTAATTTCTGTCAGGACCTAAAGACAAGTTCAACCAAAATCTGAAAAAAGTGATCTGGAGGAAATGACCAACCCTGACTTTAAAGGCTGAAAAAAATCTGCAGCCGCATTTCAATCAGGAGAGACAAATGAATAAAGAAAATGATTTATTAAAATGGATAACATGGAAATGAGACTTGACAGAAATACTTTGGCGCTTGGACTCTATGGTGGTGGTTGATGTGTGAGCGTCAGAATAAATCCCCCCCATGGAGTCCAGACCCTGGTGGTGGTGGTGAAGCTGAGGACTTGATGAGACAGGATGGGTGACGACTAGATGGATGATGATTCTGAGAAGATGGTCGCTGATTGGGAGGTGGAGGGGCGCATGAAACATCAGCATGAAGTAACTGAAGGCAGAGAATATTTAAAAAGGGGAGCAGAACGATGACAGGTTGAAAATGAGGGAGGAACGCCACGCCATTGGTTGGATGAGTACCGCTGACGAGACAGCTGATTAACCAATGACAGCGGAAACGTGAGTGAGCGTGCAAAAAGGGATGACTGACAAAGACCCAATTAGAAAGTCTTCCTGACTGAACTTACGCTCGAGCTTCATTAAACCAATAACGTTAATCTTCTTAGTGTCAAGCTGAAGCCGCTCTCACCTCTAAAGCGACGGCGAGGTTACCACCCTCAGACCCCTCGCCGAGGACACATCTCCTCCCATAAAGCTCAGGACCAGACCAGTGAAGAGAAATGTCTGAAGATTTTCACCCTTTCCACTTAGAAACCTTCCAAATTAACCTGATGCCGCCGTGTCTCACATGTAATTAAATCAGTGCAGACATTAATCCCAGAGGCCGTTAGAAGAAATGAGGTGGATCGCGTCGTTCTTCTGTGATTACTCTGGGAAATAAGACCCTGTTAGCCCTCCTGACTGCAAGTCTCTGTGGCACAGTCAGATCCAATCAGGGCTTTATTACTCTACTGCTTTACAACAAGCACCAAAATACTTAATGTATGAACTTTAAAGGGTCTCACTCTCAATATGTATCTTAACTCGGGGGAAATTTAGTTAGCTTTATGAGTCGATGTTTGTGTTAACTTTCTAATTGAATTTCCAGCAGTTTGGTTTATGTCAGGTTGACAGTTGTGCCTGAAATCCGTCTTTTCATTGGTGTAAGAAAGCAACATCAGGTTAGACTTTGCAGGTTTGGGGCGCTAGATGGCCTAGCGGTGGGAGCGTGCCTATGTTCCCACATTTCTCAGATTCTTTTCAAAATTAGGCCCTATGTTGCCACATTTCCTTTTCAATAAATTTGAAAAACAGCTGCACAAATTGCTGCTGATCGAAATAAAATTACTCATTCATTCATTTACTCTAAAGTGCTTCCAAAAAATCTTGTGGGAGGATAGGGCTTAAATAGAAGGGAAATGTAGGAACACAAGACCTAATTTTGAAAATGTCCAAGAAATGTGGGAACATAGGGCTGACCCCCCCTTGGCAGTTATATCGCTTACAAGTGCAGAGGACATGTCTTCAAAGAGGGCGACTCTCTGCGGTCGTTCCTCGCTCTCTCATCCCAACTTCTTGAGCTTGTATAGCGCTCTCTAATGACTCAGATCGCTTTTACACCGCAGGTCACACCTTCACATTCAACACTGATGGTAGAGGCTGCTGAGTAAAGAGACCATCAGAAGTAACTCATCCCATTTATACACATTCATACACCGCAGACAAAGCAGACGGAGCAACTCAGAGTTAAGTGTCTTCCCCAAGGACACATTGGACATGTTGCTGCAGTAGCAGGGGATCAAACCCCGACCTTCTGGTTGAGAGATGACCGCCTCTACCACTATCCTATCTTCTACAAATAAAGGCACAAAGGGGGAAAACAACCTTTAAAGAAATTGTTTTTGCAGCGGTTGTATGACACGTGTAGTGGTATTACTTAGTGTGTTAAATGGCATTTGGCTGCACACACACACATTAAAAAACACATTTCTGCTTTTGCTTGCAAAAAAAGGGTGACAGTTTTTTTCTACACTGCAAAATGCAAATCTTATAAAGTTTATTTTTGTTGATTTCCACACTCTGAGGTGCAGGTAGCCTAGTGGTGGTTAGTGTGCACGCCTCATGTTCTGAGGCTTTAGAAAAACTTAACATGCTGAAGATGAAATCAGCTACAGATTAAAAGGTAAGCATCGTCATAACGACCACGTTGGAATGCTGATGGTAGCATTTAGCTCAAAGCACTTTGATGACTGACCCTCGTACAGCCTGCTACACAAGCTTTGCACACTCAGCATATTTGACAAAATCGTTTCTCATCTGTTAAAAAGATCAAACCAAATGTTTTAAAAATGATTAACCTCCCTTAAACGTCTCTTTAAAGGGTTTTAAAGGACTGGATCAAAGCCTTCTGTTTCCTTTTTTTTATGAACGCTTGGATTTGTATTCTTGGGTGGAGAGGAGACAGCTTCTACATCCCATAATAACCACATATTTCTTCTTGCACCTACTCGTATACAAACAGCTCGTCCTCACAGCTTTATCTCGCAGGATGTCCTGTACAGGATGAGCAGGAGGCCAAGGAGAACCGGAGGAGGCGGTTGAGACCTTGAGAAGCGTCTTCTGGTAAATCTCTTGTTAATCACAAACCTTCACTTCCAGGAGAACCACAAACAAACAAACAAACAAACAAACAAACAAACAAACCTCCGCTGGACCACCGGCTCCAAAAACTGGATAAGGATTTTATTGATAATTGAATTACATATCTCTTTTATACATATTTCATAAATGATACAGGATTTTACATTTTTCTTTTTTGCCAACATTACAGCATCGTATGTCAACAGAAGAAAAACAGACGAGAAGAAAAAACTCAACTCAGTAAAACGAAGAGGTCAGAATGGAGGTCAAGATCATTTCAATCCTAGATTCTGCGTCGCTCTTTTAGGCATTTTTAAACAAACCTTATTGTAAATGCACACAAACAATGGATTTAAAAACAGAACACACGTTCCAAACAAAGAAGAAAAAGGTGATTTTTTTTTGGAGAAACGAAGGTGGAGGGTGGGGGTGAAAATGGCGGGAGAGTGGCGGGACAAACGATGGGAGGTGTCCCCCCCCTTCCCCCCCGATGAGCTTAACAGTTCTCCTGCGGACACAAATCCAGGACGATGGGAACTGAAGTCAAGAGGTCTGCTTGGAGCAACGAGGATGGAGTTTTTTGTTACAAGGGGGTGTAAAGGCAAGCTGAAGGAGGGGGGGAGGGGTCATGGGTCAAATAAGGTGAAGATGGGGGGGCGAGGTTTGATGAGGTGTGAGCAGTTGGTTGGCTGGGATTAAACGTCAGATTGGGCAGGGCGGATTCTGAAGACGCAGCATGTCCGCTGCCCCGTTATAACTAGGAATCTCTACAAACAACGTTCTTAAATTATCTTTGCAGTTTTTCTTCTTTTTTTTTTTTCTTTTTTGTTTTTGGATAAATCTTCTTTTTTTATTTTTCACATAATTTCTCATGTAAACATACATTCATGCAACACCCTCTTTATAATAAAGTTTCCCTATATTTGATATATTTTTGTTTTTAAGAAAATCAACGAGAGAACAAAAAAAAGAGAGAGAGAACAAAAAGGCAGTAAACGGTGGATGGTGGAGTGATAAAAAAAAGGAGGAAGGTGATGATGGAGAGAAGTGTGGTGTGGAAACAGCAGAGGGGAGGATTGGACTGCAGACTGAGGCCTCTCACCTCCCACGGCGGTACATCTCCAAGGAAACACTGTCGTCAGTGTGTGTGTGTGTGAGTGTGTGTGTGTGTGTGTGTGTGTGTGTGTGTGTGTAAATCGGCTTATTCAGGAAAAAACGATGACTGCTATGAAGTGCGATGTGGGCGGAATTGATTTCTTTGCTCTATTGACAAGGCAGTGATTAGGGGCAAGGGGATTCATGAATATGGTGATCTGAACTTTGCCCCAAGTGCACACACACACACACACACACACACACACACACACACACACACACACACACACACACACACACACACACACACACACACACACACACACACACACACACACACACACACACACACACACACACACACACACACACACACACACACACACACACACACACACACACACACACACACACCCTCCTGAATGAGAGGTTTCAATCCAATTTAGAGAAAAACTTCTGCAATGATCTTATCATGCTGCTGATGAAATCACCACACCTTAACATCGTCAGTCAGGCAAAAGGCACCAGTTACCTTGGTGATAGAACACACACACACACACACACACACGCACGCGCACGCACACACACACACAGACACACACCGACACACAGGGAAACGAATAAGGCCCAATCCTGCGGCTTGAGATCTGCATGGCTTACCTTTGATTCAATCTAAAAATCATGCATTTTAATTCAACACAAGGATCTCTTCTGTAGGATTCAGCCAGCTGTCCACACACACACACACACACACAATGTTGAACTACACTCTATGTTAGAGGACGTCATGTTGGGACCTGTTTTTTAAGGGATGTTAATAATAAATGTGACCAGAGAGAGGCCCACCAATCCTCCCCAACCAAAAAAAAAAACTGCTGATAAAGCTTTTTTTTTTTTTTTGACCATCCCAAAATAAAAAACATAAACGTATGGCTTCTATAACCTTTGATTTACCCGATCAGGGGGATGAGACTTCAGAAAGATCTGGCAAACAAAAAAAGTCCAATTAAGTAAAAAAATAAAAATAAATAATGGCATTAATGCTCCTACACATTCACAGATTTTTCTACTGAGGGCATACCACAGCATGCAGTCTACCCTGCGCTGCCATCAGGGGAGCAGGGGGGGCAATACAGCAAGTGGGGGGAGAAATCTCAGGCTTTATTTCACGATGATGAATGAACGCTAAGATACATTTGTTACATGTAAACTTTGTTATGTTTGAGATTCATGAGGGAGAATTATATTTTAAATAATCCGATGATGTCACATGCCGCAGAAGCTAGAAGTCAAATTATGAAATTATTAGTTTTACTTCACCAAGGAAAGAAAATAAGTTTATATGAGCGAGACATTAAGTCAAACTCTCTTCTGGTATGTTTGACATTTAACACGCCTGTACGTTTGTCTGAGTCGATTTTGTCTGCAAGAGATATTTGGGTTCCTGACATTAGAGAAAGCATGTGATCAGCCGAGAGCAATCATTTCTATTTAAAGCTTTAATCAACCAGACGTGGCAGGGTCGCTAAAAATGTCGATATCCGCCTGGTTTGACAGACTTCAATAACGTTGCAAGAGCTGATGTCAGAAGCCGAAATTAAAGCGAGCTCACCTCCCTGCTGATACAGAGAAGGTGTTTTATAATCCTGCCTGTTGGACAAACTCTGACTTGTCAAACATGAAGGAAAATGTTCTCAGTGCAGGAGAAATCTTAAAACGCCTCTGAGAGATCATGCAGTTTGTCAGACATTGTCCAGAGACATTTAAAGATAACTATTTAAAAAACAAATCAAATCCTGCATTTATTTTGAAAACCAGAAGTGAAAAAAATTCTGAAGAAGTATCGGGATAGGAATCAGCGGTCAGCGAAGTTGTAATTTTAAACATCGGTATCTGTGTCTGCACAGATTTTCCCGATCAGTGCGTCACTAGTTTTAATGCAAACCGATGGAAGTTAGTGAAAGGTGCTGACTGGTTTTAATGTGAAGCTCTTGAGTGTTGTGGAAAAAGATGGCGTCAGACGGGTCCGTCATTCAAGGCGATTTTTAGAGGATGTGGATGAGGATGTCTGTTAAGAGAGTTCCTCCCCCCACTGAGAGAAAAACTAGCCTCTGGTCATCTGTTTATTTGATTGTATACATATATATATATATTTATATTCTTCTCATAACAAATATACTATGGCTTTCAAAATAAAAAGTGCCAAAATATTTTTTTGGAATAAAAGAACACACAGTGATGTTGTTGTCGGTAGTACTCTCTCAGAATTGCGCAGACAGACCGGGGCGGGCCGCTGAGGGGAACATCAACAGGAAGAGGAAACGAGGCGTCGCCCGTCGCCTTACATCCTGCGAGTCCTGTGACAGGCTCCTGACAAAAAGGTCACACTGGGAGGGACAGCTGTCCGTCACCTGGAGGAGGCGTGGCCTAAGGGTTGAGGGAGGCAAGCACAGTCCAGCCACAGGAAGATGAAGGTTCCTCCTGAGGGTGCGACTGCAGTCAGGACTTCCTTGTAAACTTTAGCATAATGATATAGAGCCCGGCCCCCCCCCCACGACCAAGAGTACAGCAGGTGTGTGTGTGTGTGTGTGTGTGTGTGTGTGTGTGTGTGTGTGTGTGTGTGTGTGTGTGTGGACAGTTTGACTGCAAGAGGAAACAGGACTTTGCTGTGTGTGACGACCCGCTGAGTGGCCCGGGGTCGGTGTCCCAGCATGCCCCTTAAAAGTTCCTCACACACACACTCAATGGTAACCCCCCCCCGTGTGTCCTCTATTCTGGAGTGTCTAAGACGAGTGATAATTCCTGTTTGCCGTCCCCACATGAGGAGTATCCACGCAGCCCACTTTGATTCCATCATCATCGTCCCGTTCATGACCCTCCCATCTGTGAGAGTTGTACAGTTCCTTTTTTAAGTATCCTCACCATTGTTCTGCGTCGTCTTTGAAGCCGTTTCAATTCCAACTGGAGTTTTCAGTCAGGAAAAGAAAAAAAGGAAAAAGAAAAATAAAAGAAAGAAAAAAAAAACTAACTCCCACAGTCGAGAAAAAGGGGGGGATGGGAATATAAGGGTTGCAGGAGGGATTAGGAAAGGAGGGATTTGAGGAAATTGTTTGGGGGTGAAAGGAGAGGAAGAAGAAGGGTGTCGGGCGGCGAGAGGGAGGAGGAGGGAGTCGTAGGAGCCGAGAGTGGAGGAGGAGGAGGAGGAGGAGGTCACTGTTTACTGTCGGTGAGCCGCTTAACTGGGAGGTGGAGCAGGAGCGGGTCCCGGAGACGCTTCAGAGCCAACTCCACCTGGAGAGTTTTCAGATTAGGAGAGAAAGAGGGAGGAGGGGAGGAAAGGAGAGGAGGAAATAATATCATATGAGAGGGGGGAATAGAGTGAAAGTAGGTCTACGTTACAAATCCATTTATTAAACTGTAAAATGTGTGAAATCTCAGAGTGCTCGTTTTCAAGTTACATAACATCCAGATTTCACCGTACCTCTGCAATTTCATCCTTCAGACTGTTGTACTTCTCAACGTCGAAGCGTGTCCTTCTCATCCACTTGTGGAGGAAGAGCAGATACTGCCTGTCATGAACGTCGGGGTAAACATACTCCTGCAGGTGACGGAGAAAAAACACAAACAAAATCAGGGTTTGGCATTTTTTTATTCCCTTAAAAATGTGCAAAGTGTAAAAGTCACACGAGATGAAGTGACTGTGACTCTCTTACCTGGCGTGTAAGCACGTAGTAGGCGAACATGGTCATGGCTGAGCCGTAAGTGATAAAGTAGGTGACGGGCTCCATGATGTCCCAGGAGTACTCCCACCAGGTGAGCCGGGCCAGGACACCAAATTGGGTGGCCATGAACGCCATGCCGGTCCACAATAGAGTGGCGGTGCGCCGCTCCGCCCTCCTACTCAACTCCTTCTTCACCTGCAGACGTCAGGGAGAGAAAACTCAGTTAGTTAAAAGAATTAGGATTCATTCTTATCGCTTCACCTGCTGGTTAATTTAATAATTAATCCACTTTTTTTTTATTCTTATAGGAGGACAAAACAAGCTCAATTTCTGCAGATCTTCTTTTTTGTCTGATCACTCGTTCAAAACCTTTTTAAAGACAAAGAAAAGATGCAAATCCTCACAGGTTATAAAGTGCAATCAGGAAATATTACTGGTACTTCATAATGGGAGATCCATTTATTGATTCATTGCTTTGTTCGAGCTCTTATTCAGAAACAGAAGAAGCAAACATGCACAGAGGCAGGTTATTACTTCATTGATTTCCAGAGAAAAAGAAACAGCTGGGACGTTATCCTCAGACCGTTGTTGACAGATAAAGACTGAGGGCAATTCAGAAGACTACAAAAGCGCTATAAAAGCTCATGAAAGAGCTAGGTCTTTAGCTTTTTCTTAAAGGTGCAGAAAGCCAGCTCTTTCATGAATACCTACTAACTTAATGATGATGGTCTCCATATTATTGATGATGATGATGGTAATGACGATGGTTTTTGTTTGATAACAATGACTTATAAGATGGTTTCTATACTGATTAGAGCTCTCAAGAACTGCCCTCAATGTTGTGCTTTGCCTCTGGTCACTTCCTGTCAGCACCTGTGTGTCCAATCAGACTCAAAGCTGATCGTTTGCTCTTACTCACATTGTTCCCTTTTTTCTAGATCCTTGCTTGTGTTGTTCTTACTCTCTGATGTACGTCGCTTTGGATAAAAGCGTCTGCTAAGTGAATTGTAGAATTGTAGAAGGTAGACGAAGCAGCAGAGTCCATGCTATAATGATAGCAGGTGCTGACAGGAAGGAAAGTCTCTCCCTCTGAGGTAAATGTGTGAACAAGCAACTGGGGGGGGGGTCATGCCCTGAAATCTCCAAAGACTTTCTGGAATATGAACCTCAAAGAAACAATTAGAAACAGTCGTTAAGGCTTAAGATGCTCAAACTGAAAGTGCTAACCCAGTTAAATATAGCTAAATGTTTTTTTAATGGGCAACAATAAAATTGAGGACTGCTAAATCTGTGTGTGCTGTGAGTTTCGTTTTAGTCATTGCTTCAGTTCAACCATTCCAACTATCGAGCGTGGGAGTTATACAAGCATCTTTTTTTTTCAACATTTGGCAGGATAAAAACAACAACAAATATAACTCAGTTCAGACCTTCTCCAGGGGTTCGAGTTCAGTGTTGAGGTCCTCAAGTCGTGCAATCAGCTCGCGTTCTTTGGCGAGTTGGTGCTCGTCGATGCGCAGGGTCGTGTAGAGCTGCTGCACCAGAAACTTGACATCATTCAGCCTTTCTGCTTCCTCGTGAGGCAGCATCTCTGAACACACACACACACACACACACACACACACACACACACACACACACACACACACACACACACACACACACACACACACACACACAAAGGATAACAGATAAACAAAGACAGACTTTAATGGGATCCACTCGTTCTAAAGACTTATTTTGATATTTTAGCATTCGAGTCCTCTGGTCCTGAATAGACGGTTCTTTCAGATTCCAGTTATTGCTTTCAATATCTCTCCTGTTTATTCTATCGTATTTCATTTTGTGTTTTTTGTATATTCAAGATTCATGATTCAAAGATTCAAAATGTTTATTGTCATGTGCACAGTAGGAAACATGTTTCCCTGTACAATGAAATTATATCTTTGCTGTCCACAATGACTGCCAACAATAAAATATTAAAATTAAACATAGCCAAATAAAAAGAATAATAATATATTTCCTGTATAGTTTACAGGTGATGTTGTAATCACCTGTAAACTGTTTCTTTGATGCATTATACAGCACTTTGGTCAGCTGCTGCTGTTTTTAAATGTGCTTTATAAATAAATGTGACTTGACTTGACATAAAACCATTTTTTTCTCCTATTTGTAGCTCAGAGCCCAGCAGCTCAGACTCGGCCCTTTTTTCTCCCCGCCTGGTCCTCACCTCTCCTGGGCGGCTGCACGAGGTGCGTGGTGTCGTTGATGACGAGCTTGAAATCCTCCAGCAGCAGGATGTCGATGCCTGTGGAGGAGGCAACCCTCGCTCCATCTGCACAGAGAGAGAGAGAGAGACAATCGGTAAGAGAGATTGGGAAAACACTTCAAAACAACCCCTTGACATCTTCAGATAATCAGGCTTGTTGCCGTCTCATTATCATGAGAGGTAAAAAGCAGATGCACTTAAACAGTACGAGTAAGAATTCTAAGCACCAGTTGTTCCTGTATAATGAAAACCTCTTAGAAGAGTGAGGCTGAACATCATTTCACGGTGCAGGCAGGCTGTAATAAAACTGTGATGCAAAGACATCACAGAGGGAAACACTTTGCAGCTTCTGAAGCATGTGAGGATGGTATATGTACAACCTGCCGGGGGTACAAGGGAGGGTGTTTGTACAGTGCATGTGTACAGTATTCTTGTGCTTCTGTTGAACATACTTGTGGAGTAGATAGCAACCCGGTCGATGCCTCGGTCCTCTGCCTGGAGCTGTTGCAGGAAGACTCCCACGCTGTCGCTGAGAGGCTTGAGGGTGAACTGACAGCGCTCTCGCCTGGACGGCAAACTGACTGAGATCACCGGCAGCCCGTTCTGATACACCACCGTCACCTCTGGGAGAGGGGGGACACAAGCGGTGAGACAAATATCACACAGGCAGATAATATAGGATGACAACCGAGGGTGTTTAATGAAGCATGGAAACAAACTTTCATGTATTCTGCTCCATCTGATCATTTAATTAGAAGGAGTAAGGCAAGGCAAGTTTATTTATGTCACACATTTCAACAACAAGGCGATTCAAAGTGCTTCACACAAGACATCAAAAAGCATCATGACAGAGGAAAGAAAAGAAACATTGAAAAAATCATTGAAATGATTAAATCTGAAAACATAAAAATAAATTAATAAAATAAATAATTCAAATGAAATTAATTGAAATAAATAAAGTAAAAATATAAAAAGAGTTAAAAGTTAAAAAGTAAGGAGCATCAGATGGCTAACTTTATCCACAACTAGTTGAAATATTAAGGAGAGGATGAGGTAAATGTATGATGGAGTAATCCCAGGATCAGTCTGCAGGGGGCGCTAAACGGCTCGTTCTGTAAATCATGCGATAGTTCACCAATATGAAACCAAAACTTTCATGAGACGTCTTCAAGCCTCGACATAAGCCGGTGAAACTTCTTCACATAGACTCTCTTCTCCCAGCACTGGAGAGCAGCTCTCCCCCTGGCAGCCCTGCAGCGTTCTGCCCCCCTGAAGGCTTCCAGAGAGCCGGCCAATCAGAAGAAAGTGGGCACATGGGGAGGGGGGGAGCAGCTGGAACGAAGCGTTTCAGGCAGAGGCTGAAACTGTTTTTTTTTTTACTGACGTCAGTGTCAGATAAATGAGGAGTTTTTTGATCTGCTAATCATGCAAAACGTCTCTTTAGATTTCACAGACTGACGACATGAAAGGTAAACACGAGGAGAATATGTGAGCAACATGATGGAATCTCACTGTTACAACAAGAATGATGTCTTTATTACATCAGATTACACCTCCAGAAACCTATTTTCTATTTTTCAGCCTCTGACTGAATATCTGTCTTCAGAGGACCACACGCAGGCGAGAAAAAAAATATGCACAAAGCTGAAATATGTGGACTGTTGTTTTGCCAAAGCATTCCTCCTTCTTTGACTGTCAGGCCTTAAAAAAAAATCAATGAACGATAACACAGCTAACCTTTACCTCACAGAACTGTAATGCTGATTTGTTGATGCCAACTATTGATGTTTTCTCATTCACTCAGAGCGCCTGAACACACCACTAAATGAAGCTGCGTGGTCAGACTGACAATCAGAAAAGAAGTTCATTCTCTGTGTGTCCTTCAACGCAGCAAAGGAGAAGAACTGACTGAATACACTGACACCTGGAGTTTGCAGCACGCCCTGCCAACACACTTCAGGGTGATGTAGCGTGTGTCAGTGTTTGCTGTGCTCTCCTTCTGTTATGAACGATTGGGAGAATCGTCATTTCTGCAGCAAACAGCTGCGCCCCCCGCCCGCTTCTGCAAAGTGGCACTTTGTGCAGTTTTTCTTGCACACTAATAACGTAACCCAGCTCTCCTGGTCTGTAACCAAATGCTGGTTTTAATGAGCCAACAGAGCTTATACTGTTATCAGGCTGAGTGGCCCCCCCTGATGACACAGAGGACTGCGGGGGCCCGCAGCCGAGGTGATTCCAAGCTGCACCCAAAAAAACCCTCCATGCTCAGGACCGCTGCAGTGAATCAGCAGATCTCTCTGCTTGGGCTGGAAACCAAGAAAGAAATGAGGGATCATCGGCTGGCATACGCTGCACCGGCCGGGCTCCGGTTCAAGATGCTCCTCGTGTCCGAGCTCAAGGACGCAGCGGTGCAGACGTTCTACTTCAACACAATCTCTATCATTGACACCTTCCCAAAACAATCAGTTTCTCTCCCCCCCTGCAGCTGCTCCCTTTGTTCCAACAGTGCAGAAATACAAAAAGTGTAGTTCCTGGAGTGTCCACTTGAGGCGCAGGGAGCTCCATTATAACTTATGTTACAGCAGAAACAAACTAGGCTAAAAAATGTATGTATTTATTCAGACACACTATAAAGCTTGTGCATTTCTTTAACTCATCTGTGTTGATTATGTATATTAAGCGTTTGCCAAACCACAGGCACGGCTGATTTGATTGACAGGCGACACGATGAGGCCGTTTGTCAGGGTGCTTAAATTCCACCTCTTAGCCTGTTACTAAAGTAGATTGATCCAAAGTTATTCCCTTTCCAATATGGCCGCTGCCATCGTTCAACTACTAAAAAAGCCTCTGTAGAAACTAATGCATGAGGTCACTGAGATGACGACTATCCGCTGCCATGACAACCTTTGTACTCGCTGTGTAATATTGGCTTCCCCCTTTGTGAGATTTTACATCGCACTACGGGGCGGCTGTGGCTCAACGGTCAAGTCGGTCGTCTCTCCACAGCTCCTGTAGCAACATGTCCGATGTCGATGTGTCCTTGGGAAAGACACTTAACCCCAAGTTGCTCCTGCTGCTTAGGCAGCTGTGTATGAATGTGTATGAATGGATGAGTTAATACTGATGGACTCTTCACTCAGCAGCCTCTACCATCAGTGTGTGAATGTGAAGGTGTGAATGTGAAGGTGTGACCTGCGGTGTGAAAGCGCTTTGAGGAATCAGAAGACTACAAAAGTGATATATAAAAGCTCAAGTCCATTAACGGTTTACCAACTATGGCTTTGCTGAAGCGTGAGAGGCGCAGCGTGTGAACACACAGCGGGAGCTTCTCGTACATTCACGGCGCTAATAACTCTGTTACAAGCTCCGGTGGCCTATCAGGCATGGAATGACTCCGCCCCTCCATTCTGCCGCCAAATGAGACATAACAGGGGTGTAAATATCTTGAACTGGCAATCTTTTCAACGCCATATGATAAGTACTCAATCGAGATTTCAGGGTGCTACAAACCAGGAATAGAAATACATTTGTTTTATTTATGATGATTTATGATGCAAAATTTAACCATAAAGCAAATACTACACTGGATCTGGGTTTCACAGCGAAGCACTCAAAGCTTCATGTATTTATCCCCTGCACTTCAAAACTATGGACTTTTTTCTGTGTTGGCCGATTACACACAACTCTGATATTCCAATATCATTTTTAATGGTAGAACCACGACGAAGTGTGGATAAGTTCAAGAGGGATCAATGCTAATGCGAGGCTCAAAGTGTTAGGATCATGTTTTTTATCTGGACTCTGTCCTGCTGCTTCATGAAGCTCATTTTAAAAATCAAATCATCATGCTGCTGCCCACTCCTCTCAGCCTCCTCTCTGTTCACGCTCTAAATCTCTCCGGCACTCACGCATGCAGATGCTAGTCCAGGACAGATTCCACATTAATGACTGCTTGGCTGTTTACTCCAAAATGAGCCTCCGCCGTCTGATCAATGCTGAATTCCTTTAGGTGCAGAACTCATTAGTCTCTGTGCCGGGGAACAGAGGCTAAAAGCAGGCGGGGATTTTTTTTCTTTAAAGGAGGGAAACCCTCGGATACGGCTCATCTGGTCAGAGGAAGAAAGTGAATGAAGGGGAAGAAGGGAGGTGAGGAACTTACCCTCTGGAGAAGCGGAGGTACACAACAGTCTCTGGCCGTGCCATGAGGGGGCGCCCCTCCAAACCTGCACACAAGAAGAGAGAGAGAGAGAGAGAGAGAGAGAGAGAGAGAGAGAGAGAGAGAGAGAGAGAGAGAGAGAGGGAGAGAGAGGGAGAGAGAGAGAATGTGGTTATTCCACTTGTTCACAGGTTACCTCAGGTGTCTTTTAGTTTAGTAAACTGGAGGTAAAATAAGCAGATGAGTTTATTTTTATTGTCTTATTCTTCTCAGAGTGTATATTTGAACGTCTTAGAGTATAACATTACAAGATGGCTTCCCCCTGTTCCAGTTTCTACAAATGTTCCTTTATGCAGACTGCAGCCACACCCTGGGAGCACACACACACACACACACACACACACACACACACACACACACACACACACACACACACACACACACACACACACACACACACACACACACACACACACACACACACACACACACACACACACACACACACACACACACACACACACACACACACACACACAACACGCGGCAGCCAAATGCAGCCCGAGTTACAACAATGTGGTTCAGTATGAAATCTGCACTTGTGTCACAGACTGGAGAGAGAGAGAAGGAGGGAGGGAGGAGCGAGCGAGCGAGGGAGGAGGGGAAGGAGGAACAGAGGAGCAGAGCTTGGGGAAACCCTCGTTTTTTTCTCTCTCTCTCTCTCTCTCTCTCTCTGCTACAGTATACCATTACCCCAGCGAGGTAGGCGTGGTCATATGCGCCGCATTACAGAGCTTTGTCACGTTTCCAGCTATACCCAGCCTTAAAACAGGCCAGGAGACGGGGCTGTCGGATCTCCTCGCAACTTAAGAGTGAACGAGAGCGAGGATGAGACATCGGATAACAAGGGAAGAAGGAAAAAGAAAAGAGCGCCAGAGGGCTGCAAACAAAACAAGAGCCTTCCCTGATTTAAGTTTGACTTATGCACAAACAAAATGTGGCTCCGCTGCACCACCGACATCGCTCTGTTCACTCTGCTGACTGATCATCATATTTAATAAGCCGAGCGTGGAGTCAGGGAGTTTGTGATCATGTACTTGGGTTTATTAAAGCCTCGGGCAAATTTTGATTAAAATAGAAGAAAATGCAAATATGAAATATCAGCTTCATTACACAGGCACAGTAATGTAAATATTTATAACTCGTTTATTAGGAAACTAAGTTAGCTTTTCTGTGTGATGTAGTTTTCTAAAGACTGTGTGGGCGATCCCTTTCTGATTGACATGAGCATCTCATTTGCGGTGAATGTTTGAGTGACCTTGATTAAATCGCAGCCCGACTCGTCTTCAACCTTTCTAAAACAACACATGTCACTCCGTTGTTCATCTCTCTCCGCTGGGTCCCAGTTACTGCTCGCATCAAATTTAAAACTCTGCTGCTCGCTTAAAAAATGTCTCCTCCAGGTCTACACTCCCTCCCGCCCGCTACGCTCTGCCAATGAAAGGCGTCTGATCCAACCTTCACAACAGGGTCCTAAGATGCTGACTAGACTCTTCTCCTCTGTCGCCCCCCGGTGGTGAAACGAGCTAACAAACTCTAAATGAGCTGCAGAGTCTCTTTGCACCTTTAAGGAAAAGCTAAAGAACCAGCTCTTTATGAACACCTGCGACCTTAATGATGATGATGATGATATTTAGGATAGGAGAAGCTGTCTATGTTGTTGATGAGGATATATTATTTAAAATAAAAATGCTCTGTCTCTGGTCACTTCCTGTCAGCACCTGTGTATCCGACCGGACTTCAAGCTGTGTGTTTGTACTTCCAGACGTTGTTGTTTCCTCTCTAGAACCTTTCATTGTGTTTTCACTTTGGATAAAAGCGTCCTCTGAATGAATTATAGAAAAGTCTGTAATTATGGAAACACAAAAGGAACATTTATCTTTCGTTTTATGTTTTATGTAAAAGCATTGCTTGTCTATTTCAGCAATGCTTTCTCACACACTGACATGCTTTAACATTCTTTGATGCAGTCACATGAAGACAGAGCAAGCTATCATTTTTCGAGCAATTGGTGCTGATTTAGTGGTGAAAAAATGTTATGCACATTTCATCTTTATCTCAAAATCCTGCAGGCCTTTGCATAACCTCCCTCAGCTGTAGGCACAGGAGATTCACTCAAACAGAGCAGACTCACATGTCTCTCAGCATCCAGCAGGTTTTCAGTCTGATGCCGACTCTTCGTGGTATCAGATTTATGATTGTGCGCTCTGTATCTCTGACCCTCGCTGAGGCTAACCACACCAGCAGAGATTCTGCTTTATGGCTTCACACTGACACTTCTGAAGGGAGAGGATGTTCGGCAGCAGTTTGTGTGTGTATTTCATGCGCTGTCACTGCAGACAGACGCCGTCTGGATTTGTAGCACTGAGCTGAACACAAGCTTTTGTGCTCTATCCAACATAACCTTTCTAAGCGAGACAGGCGGAAACTTTAGAGGAGCAAGATGAAGGCAGAGAAGCAGGTCTGGAAGTTAGAGCCAGATTTGATCAATACTCGGCAAAACAGATATCACGGCTAAGTCTGAGAGACAGACACCAACAGAGAGAGATCAAAATGTAATCACTTCCTGTACGGTGTGTCTCATGAGAGCGCCCGGTGACACAGCAGGAAACTTTGGGGAATAACTCGATCTTGTTTTAGAGATCTGGATCTGATCAGAATAAGACTTTAACAGCAGCTGACAGCTAAACCGGTCAGAACAATCTCTGCCAGTCTGAAAATATTTTTCAGGACTGGGACCTGCAGCAGGGGGGGCGACCTGTTATCCCAGCATCGATTTTACAAACACAGACGCCAATCAATCAAACGCTCGTGACTTAAATGTCCCGGCTGTCATTCAGAGAATGCAGCTGCCCATCACTTCCCCCACAGCTGTCTGATCCGGCTTCTGGTTCAGGAACAAGAGAGCCTGATGCTTGTGCAAGAAGAGTCGATGTCGGACCGGTTAAATGTTTTTGATTTACACAAACGGATGACAGCTCCCCCCCACCGCTCCCCTCCCTCAGCATTGTGGAGGATTGACATTAATTAGCGATGAGGTGCTAACCGCTGCGTTTTCAGCTGGATCTAAACTGCTGCCTCTGTTTTTTCCCGGAGACATTCTCCTCAGGCATCCAATGCAACACTGACTGCACCATTATGACGCTCCACAGATGGGAGGCCTCACCAGGGGTTCAATGTTTTGATGTTTCTTTCTTGCTCAACTCCCGAGGGGAACATAAGAACACCTGGAAACCTCAACGTACTTCTAATTTTTGACATCTGCAAACAGAAGGAAAGAGTGGAAAGTATGAAGTGTCCCCGATGCAGCAGTGATGCAAAACTTTAACCAACGTGATCCACTGTAAAGTGAGCAGCGCCCGAGGTATCAGGTATCCTTTCAAAGGTGTTAAATTCCGACGCCTTCATAATCACTGCAGTTTTTGTCAGGCTGGATAAATCGCAATGCGTCTACTAACTAAACTTCTTTGCATTTTCTCCTCCCAGTATTTTGCACACTAGGGCAGAAACGCCCCATATTGCATATTCATTAAGGCTCATATTAAAGACGCAATCCTCACTGCGCGCCATTAGTAGATCAGATAGTACAGTTTTTTGCTGGTGGTATCAAGTTTGCGCACGTTTTAAGACACGCAAACCTTTAGTAAATCAGGCCCCAAGTTGTTAAATATCACATGAACTCCCTGAGTCTGAATGCTGAACTAGTAGTCAACCTCTGGTGAAGAGAAAAGTAAGCCCGTAAGGAAATGTGAAGAACTGCAGTTCCTCAAGTGTCCTCTTGGCACAGGCTCCAAAAGACAAAGAATCCCCATAAGGCCCATATTGAAAAGGCAAATTTTACAGCAGCATTAAACGTGTTAACAGTCTGGAACAAAAAGGACATTTGGTATCAATAACACCTTTCTTTATTGGTACACACTGTTCTGGGAGTTCATTATTTTATAGCTCATTTGTTTGGTTTTATTAAGCCGAAGTGTTTCTCGTAAATCAGCAGAATCAAGGCCTCGATTCCACATCTTAGCCTGTTTTAAGATTGATCAGAAGTTATACATAGATAGCATCTCAAATATGGGGGCTGCCATTGTTGGCCTCAAAAACCAATAGGAGACATGCCTGAGACAACGTCCATATTTTATACAGTCTAATGTCCTGAACGTAGACTGAAAGACGTAAATAGTCACCTTGACATCACCTGTTGGGTTTTTTAACTCAACTTTTGAAGCCTCACTTTTGGCCGTCGCCAATTTGTCCAGATCCAGATCCCAGAGTGGACGCACGCATACCTACTCCTCCATCCTGATTGTCAGCCTGCAGTGCCTGGATCTTGTCCTTCAAACAAATTTGCAACCAGACTCAGTGCAGTCGCCCCCTACTGGGCATTAAAGAGAATGCAGTTTGAAGGCACTTCACTTTTATAAACCAGACACTACACCCCCCCCTTTTGTCTGAGCATCAGGACTGTATAACTTCATCGAAGTCTGAGTGTTGTCATGCCGCCGCCACCACCACCACGGTGAAATGTGAGTTTATGTGTCTAATGAAAATGCTGATTGTTGTCCCGTGGTTCTTAAGCAGAGCCCAAACAGCGATTAGTCTTCTGATCAGATGACGTGCTGAGAAGGTGTTTTTGGCTGGTCTGGAATAACTGCACAGTCTGCAGAGAGCGAGTCTACTGTTTGGCTCATTCATTAAACTTCAGCTGCTTGAAGCCAGGAGGAAAGATTTCACCGAGATACAACACCAACACCAGCAGCAGCAGCAGCAGCAGCAGCAGCAGCAGCACCGACCCACACACCCCGACACGGGGCAGCATCACAGACATATGCAAATATGGCGCTGGCGTGTGTGTGTGTAGATCCATCTGCAGAGTGACATGTACGCGTGGATGTACCTTTTGCAGGTGGCGTGTGTGTGTGTGTGTGTGTGTGTGTGTGTGTATTTGTTCATCCATCTGTTGGCCAGCCTGTTCGTCAGCGGTAGTTGCAGAGTGTAGCCCCCCCCCACGCC